AAAAGAAAAGCAGGGGGGGGGGGGGGGGGGGGGGAGAGAGGAGAAGGGGGAGGAGGTGTTGGCAGCCTGAAGGAGGGGAGGGAGATCACAGGGACAGGAGGATAATGGAGTCATCCCATCACCGAAAAATGATAGATTGGAATTGGGAAAAGGTTCTGAAAAGGACATGGGCTGCCTATGGGGAGAAATTAATAAAACTGGGACTTTTCAACTTGGAGAAGGGACGACGAATGGGAGATCTGATAGAGGGCTATAAAATGACTGGCTTGAGGAAAGGAGATAAGGGAGTGTTATTTGCTCCTTATAACACAAGAACTAGGGGGTCACCCAATGAAATTAATAGGCAGCAGGTTTAAAACCAACACAAGGAAGAATTTCTTCACACAGTGCACAGTCGACCTGTGGAACTCCTTGCCACAGGGTGTTGTGAAGGCTAAGACTTTAACAGGGTTCAAAAAAGAGCTAGATAGATTCATGGAGGTTAGGTCCATCAATGGCTATTGGCCAGGATGGGGAGGAATGGTGTCCCTAGCCTCTGTTTGTCAGAGGCTCGGAATGGATGACAGAAGGATCATTCCCCTCTGGGGCACCTGGCATTGGCCACTGTCAGAAGGCAGGACACTGAGCTAGATGGACCTTTGGTCTGACCCAGTGTGTCTGTTCTTATGGGTGAGCAGTAGAGGGTCGCAGGGGATATAGGGGTCAGGAGGAAATGCTGAGGCGGGGCAGGAGGAGGACAGGGAAGTTGAGGGGGCAGGGAGATATGGGGTATAGGAGGAGAAAAGGGTGTGGGGAAGCAGGATATAAGGGGTTGCAATGGGGAAATGTGAAGGGCTGGGGTGGGGTCGCGGGCAGGAGGAGCATCTGAAAGGCGGGGGTGGAGGGACAGGAGAGGGATGGGGACTGAGGAGGTTGCAGAAGGATGAGGGGCTGGAGGGAGAGCTCAGGATGACAGATGGGGGGCAGGGAGGGCTCAGGGAGACATGGGAGTGGAGGGCAGGAGGATGTGGGGAGTGGGAGGAGGCTGAGGTGAGTGAGTGCCAAGGGGGGGCAGGAAGAAACCTGTATGGCTGCAAAGGAAAAGGCAGGAAAACCAGGGGAGGAGGGAGACGGCATGCCAGCTGGGGTGGGGAGAGAGGCAGCCCCTGACTCTAGGGGATGCAGTGGAATCGGGGGTGGGGAGCATTCCGGGCTGAATCCAGAGACTTTCACACCCATTGGGTGCTGGTGCTTTCCCCAGCCAAGCCCGGAACCACAAGGTGGGTTTCCTTTTCCCCCGGTGATTATTTTTTGACAAATCTGACTTGCCAGCCAGGCAGGGGAACTTGGCCCCTCGGAGCTGGCGGCGTCTCC